AATAGACACTTAAACAAAGGCATTCAGATGGCAGTCAAATACATGAAGAAATGTTAAAAATCCCTCTCTGAGAGATGCAAATCAAAACAACTATGAGGTATCACCTCACCCCAGTAACAGCAAAGTTGAACAGAGCAGCAAACAATAAATGTTGGCAAGATTATGGAGAAATTAGAACCCTTATTCACTGCTGGCGGGTGTGTAAAATGGTGCAACCACTATGGAAGGCACTATGGTACTTTCTCAAGAAGTCAAAGTACCATATGACCCAGAAATTGCACTACTAGGAATATAACCTAAAGAAATGAGAGCAGCCAACGAAGGAGATATATGCACACCCATGTTTTTTGCATTATTCACAATAGCAAAGAGATGGAAGCAACCCAAGTGCCCATTAACAAATGAATGGATAGTAAAACTATGGTACAGTCACACAATGGAATACTATGCAGCACTGAAAACAAGGAACTCAGAACATTAAACAACAGAGTGACCCTGATGGACATTATGTTAAGTGAAATATCTCAGTCACAAAAGGACAAATACTACATAACACCACTGTTACAAAACAGGACTGACATAGGAGATTGGCGGGGAAGTTGGAAAAGTGACTAGATAATGAATACTGCATTGGAGCAGATTAAAGAAAGAACTGTTTAAAAGGAATATATTATTAGGCATTATGTGTATGGCAAGAGTCCAGAGTAAGAGGTGCATAGCAAAGGTGACTGAGGAGAGGAGGAAATTGTGCAACAATGAATGAAAATACAACTTTTTTGTACACTTTCATTAAAATAACAAGAAAAATACCCTCCAACAACAACAACAAAAAAAACTTCACAAAGGGTAAGATGGATAAAGGGTTCAGAAGAGAGACAGCTGCTGTGAACCTTAAATTCCACATGGAACCATTCACCTGAACCTTCCCACCCAGGGTGTGGTTCTGACCCATGGAAAAGCCCATTGTTCTTTTCTCCCAAGCAGTCCAGCTATCCCCAACCACTGTGAAGACATTTTCATTGATAGACCATAAAGTCCAGGGAAGCAGCATCTTCAGCCAGCCAGCACAACTCCCAAGATGCAGGCCTAGAAGCCTGTGCCAGTTCTAGCAAAAAAAAACCCCCAACCAACCCCAAATACATTTTGACCCATTGTTGACATTTTACCTGGAAAAGATTTTCCATTTCAGAGTCTTTCATCTTTTATTAAGCACCTCCTGCACAGGGACAGCAGTTTCCAGTTACTGCCAGGTCTGAATGATCTCTCCACTTGGGATGTGTTTCAAAAAGCTGCTCATGTATCTCCACCTTCTCATTTCATCCTACATATGCAACTCAGAAGAAAAAAATTAGTAGGAGCCATGTCCAAGGTTGTCAAACTTACCTATCAGCCAGCTGAGGTCTCATTTTCTTGTGAAATTAATTGTATGAATCCTCAAATGTCAGTACTGGCTTCAGAGGTATTCCCATTTCACCGACTAGAGACTGATGCCAAGAGGTAGGAAGGGCAGGCTTGCCTGTGGTTACTCACCCAGCCTGTGCGCAAGCTCCAGGCATCCAGCCTTGCCTTTCCTGAGACTACAGTTGCTAGACTGCATAGACCTTTCTGCTGGAGGAAGCAACATGTAGTTACATTACTCATTCATTCATTTAGCAAAATACCTGGTTGCAGAGAGCCTGTGAATTTTTTTAGGAATAGGTTTTCACAGTTACTATCGATCAGGTGTGTGGGATAGGTGCACGGGATAGCTGTCACTTAAGCTGAATGCTAGTTGCTTTTATAAATTTTGCTCCATATTGAAATAAAACAAGATCATTTATATTTAAAAAGGAGGGAGAGAAGTGCAGCAATGAATGAGTGGTAATCCAAAATCTCTGTATATGTTCATTAAAATTATTTTTAAAAATTATTAAAATAACAAAACCCCTCAAACTCCTATTAAAACACATGGAAAGAGACTGCCCATCTTCCTCATAGCCATTGGTGGACTTGAATGGCCAGAGCATCCCACCAATGTAGATGAATGTTGAAATAACTCCCTAAATGAGCCATTTCCACTGGTAATAATTACTGAAATTTTTCCTTGGGAGAGGAACCCCTCTTGGCTGTGATTCAAATCTGTTAGTGGCTCAAACGGGCATTCTCCTGTCAATGATTTACAGCTGCAGAAACATAGTATAGGGTCGCTGAGTCGGAGCTGCCTGACAGCAGTGAATCTTTCAGTTTTCTTTTGGAGGTGAGGGGAGTGGCAGGGAAAATAGCCTCAGACAGTGTTGTTGCTGTGTTGTTCTTTCTCCTCATGTCCCAGGGCCCAAGGCTTACTGGCTCTTCCCTTAGTATGGTATGGGCTTTATAAATTAACAAAAAGGCTAGTTTAGGTATGCTAGAACAGACTGCAAAAGTGAAGGGTTAAGTAAACTTTTTCTTTTCAAATGTAGAAATCCTGTAACTTTAACGTCTAACCTAAGTATAAAAACCTAATGGCCACTCCCAGAATCTCAGAGTTTTCTCCCAGATCTGAAATAGTGTTTTCTCCCAGATCTGAAATAAAGTGCTTTGGGTAAAGTGTTTTGTTTTGGTGTTTTTTGTTTTGTTTTGTTTTGTTGTAAAAAAAAAAGAAGAAGAAGAAGAAGGTGGTTTAGGACAAAGTACTTAGCTTTAGGATGAGCAGTTTCTTATTTGGCCCTGCATCACCTTAGAGTGCTTTAGGACTGGGTCCACAGACCCAGGTAGCTTTAGAACATCACTTGTTCAGCTTTTTGCTTATCTAATCAGATTTCTGTTCTCAGCCAATGTTCACTAGGTCACCATGTAGCCTTTCCCGCCCCCTAGTTAAGCCCCTACCTGATGTCAGCCAGCATTCAAACTTGGAGCCAGAGGGTGCAAAAAAACAGACCTTATACTTGTAGGACACATTAGGATCTACTTCTCAGTGTTCTGATGGTGCAAACAGTAGTTTCATCCTTCATGACCCCAAGAGGACTGGATCTGTGGAGTCACACCTCACCTGGCTCTAGTTCTGAGGTCCCAGAACATCTTCCCTGGCCAGGCTGGCAAACAATCTTTTCTACTTTCAGTTGTACTGCATCTCCTTCACTTTCTCTTGGGGTAAAGGGAACAAGCAACTAATTCCTAGCCAAACACTCAACTCTGAAGCTGGGATCGCACTTTAGAGGGCCTATCAGCCAAGTTTCATGGAGATGCCAGAGAGATTGAGAAAGAACCTTGCTGCAATTGCTGTTGGTTAATCCATGTCATAAAAAACCCTCATGGCCTTTGAGTCAGAACTGACACATAGCTGACCCTCCAGCAGGTTTTCAGAAGCTGTAAATCACACAGGAGATTTCTCATTGTACTCCTAAGCAGCAGCTAGCAGACTCAAACTGCTTGCTTTTGAGTTGGCAGCACAACTCCTTAATCCACTAGGCCATCAGAGCTCCCTATCATGTTGTTAGGTGCTGTCAAGTTGAATGTGACTCATAGTGATAGATACTATGAACAAAGAAACCTGAACCTTGTATCCCATGGCATTCTCATCATCTCCAATATGTCTGAGTCATTGCTGCAGTCACTGTGTCAATCCATCTGGTTGAAGGTCTTCCTTTCATTGACCATCCACCTTTCCACACATGATGTTCCTGTCCAAAGAACAGCCTCTTCTAGCAACATGCCCAAAGTATGTGAGGCAAAAGCTGTCATCTTTGGGTTCAAGGCACTTTTCTCCAAGACATATTTGTTATTCTTTGGCAGTCCATGGGATATTCAGTGCTCTTCTCTAACATCACAGCTCAAAGGCATCAACAATTCTTCTATCATCCTTATTCACTATCCAGCTCTCAGATGCATAGCAAGTGACTGAAAAGATCATGGTCTGAGATCTAAAATCTTATGAATCTCGTTATCCGTAATTTATCTTTGCCCCAAAATTTATTAATGCCTGTATGCCATTTAATAGGGAGCATCTGTGGCATAGTCGTAAGAAGCTGTACTATCAAAGTCACACAGTTTGAATCCCCCAGCTGCTCTCTGGGATAGACAATCTCCTCCTGTGTGATTTACTGTCTCTCAAAACCTGTTGGAGTATCATCTTTGGATCGGTTCCAACTCGATGGCACAGAACAACATGCCATTTAATGAGCACTCACAACTCTTCATATTTTGGTGACCCTTTCTTAATCTAGAAATCTACAACAGTTCTACTTAAGCTACTGCTCTTAAGTTGCTGTTCTTGGTTTTAGAGATTTTCTACTTTTATGCCTGCTTCTCTGAAACTGCTGGAAAAAGATGCTATGTAGGAGGTCAGCCCTGTAATGGATTCATTGCCCCAAAAAGTCTCTCACTGATTGAGAAGTTCCTGCCACCTCATTCACTTATGTTTAAAACAAAATTATTATAGTCGACTCAATTCATCTATGAACCAAAGAACTTCCATATTGGTTTGACTGCCCTTCCCTGGGAGATGGTAGGTGCATATTCATTCAACCAGGGAGTTGATCTGGACCAGAAAACACTGCTCTGAGGCACTGGAACCTGGCTTGATGAGCATAAGTGTTTTGTCCAATTCTCTGTAGACATCAGTTCTTTGTTAGATAAAGCTAAAAGACTATTTCTGAAGATCTCATTATTGGAATTCTATTTTGATTACAGTGATCTCACTGAGCTATTTTGGAATCCAAATATGGCAAGGTGCCTGGCCTGGCTTCCCTCAGTGGTTTCACGTGGTTTCAAAAGGGAAGGATAGGAAAGTGCTGACTTTTGACAAAATGGGTGAAAGGGTTTTAGCCAACAATACAATCACTCAAAGTCCAGATGAGGGGTCAGTAAATATGACGTGCCCCAAAGGCAGACCTTGGACACATTCTTCTGGTAGACATTAACTTATTACATTAACTCTGATTGCAAATATAAACTTTGACCTCACTGGCAACCACTAAAGAGTCTTCCAACCTATAAAAAGAAGTGGAGACTGATCCTGGGTCCAAGCTTCTCCTCCTGTCAAGATGTGGTACTTCAAACTCTTTGCAGTGCTCATGACCTGCCTGCTGCTGTTAGGCCAGGTAAAGAAGGGGGTGTGTGTATGTGTGTGTGTTAAAGGGATTTCAAGATAGCAGCATTAGCACACTATGGACTTTACCACCAGAGGTCCCAAAAGGTAAAGGAATTTTAAGTGGAACTTGGGAACCAGACTTAGTTCTAAAGAATGGTTCCTCTGTTTGGAGTCTGCAGCTTCCTGAGGGCGAATGGTCTTGTAGGATGCCTGGAAGGTTATGCTTCTCCTACCTGAGGTGAATATATCTTTTGCCCTCACAGGCAGATGGCTCCCCAATAACAGAACTGAGCTCAGCAAAAAGAAGAATGAAGAGAATGACCCCATTTTGGAGAGGAGTAACTCTCAGGCCGATTGGAGCGTCCTGCCGGGATGATTCTGAATGTGTCACTCAGCTCTGCAGGTAGGCAGTCCTCAAACAGGGAAGCTGAGAGACATGGGAAGCTTGTGAGGGGACAGCATAGAACAAGCAATGCAGCTAGTTGGGAAGAGTGGCCAAAGTAAGCCTGCAGGTTCCTTGAAGATGATTCTCTCTGAAGCTTTAAGTCCAGCTCAGGTCAACACAGTTACTATGAAAAAGGGCGCCTTTCTCCAGGCTTCCTGAGACTAAAGAGGAAGAAAATGAAGCAGAAGCTTTGGTGAGCATAGTTGGACGTTTTCCTTAAAAACATTTTTGTTTTACTCTAGAAAAAGACGCTGTTCCCTAAGTGTGGCCCAGGAATGATGTACACGCCAGGGAGAGAGAAGACAGCACTCACCTGCAAAAATGCTCCGTTCTATGGAATACTGAGTAATGGTATTTTGACTGGAGACACTTTAATGAAGCAAACTTATGTTTTTAATATTTAAAGACAGATGTGTGATTTAATCAGTCTCCATTTCTTTTTAGAATGCTGATATGTGGATAAACATCACTGACCTTTTCAACTTAAGAATTTATTTTTATACGTATCCTATTAAAAGTCTTAAACTGGAAATGTGGCAGTATGGAATTTAAGCTTCTGAGGGGAGCATGGGTTAATTTGTGTATATTATAGAAAAAAATCATTGTCTAATAATATGTTAACTTCTCAATCTGAAGTGTCAAGAAGAGGGTTAATCGTTTTTCAAGAAATAACAGAACATAATGGCAGGCTAAAGGCAAACATTTAGCAAGCGCTATGAAATTAGCCTTGGCAATTTCATAAGCTGGGGCTGGATCCCAGCCCTGCAAGACCATGTAAAGAACTTTAAAGCAAAGTGTCAAAGATGGTAATTTGGCATCTGCCACCTAACAAAGGGCCCAAGTCTAAGACTGTATGAACATAAGCCAGAATTGAAGAAAAATCTAGTTTAGTTAAATAAAAAAGCCCACACCACAAGAACATAAAAAGAATTGTTTGACATTTCTGTTGGAGCAGAGTGAGCTTTGGTCCTATGCACAGATCACTCAGGGGGCACGAAGCTCAGTTCCTGTAGTCAGAAAGCGAGATCTGCGTTCTAAGAAGACCAAGTTTACCCTAAAACCAGAGAAGACATCACAGGAAAGGGCAAAGTCAGAGTTGAAGAAGTATAAAGAGCACAGTGTTTATAAACTTTGATACAGAAAATCTATTTGATATTTATTAAACTTAGTTTTTCCAGCTATAGTTTGGCATTATACAAAGCATCTTAATGACACAGTAGAGTTAAAAAGATCTTTACAAATTGAAATGTGATACCCTTGTCTCCAAATATTTTAATTGCCATAAATTTGTTTAAAAATACACATTAAACGCATGTTTGACACTCTAAACTTTCTATAATCTCAATACCACAAAATACATATAATATACTATACAGATGTGGAAAAATCTAGTTAGTATATAATACTTTGCTCACCATTAACAGCTTTATAATGTGAAATGCACATACTGACTTAGAAATTCTAGCTTTTGAGCCCCAAAGTACCTGTGAAACTTTAATGTATTGCAACAAATAAAAATCACAGTATATAATTGAAATTTTGGTTGAAAATGTCAGGTGCCTAAATCTTTTGGATAAAAGAAATGTAAAACAAAAATGTGGATCATGTACAAACAAAGGCATCCTATCAGTCACTAACAGTACCTTTCTGCAGAATTAACAAGGCTTTTAGTTGCATTCAGTGGCATTACCTCCCCTCCAAAACTCTCCCCAAATATCAAACCATTATTCATCAAATAATTTTAATTTCAAATAAGATAAAAGGACTTTTAATAAATATATAACTATTTCCATCCTCCATATACAAAATTTCTTAAAACCATTCAAAACAGAGGCTAGATGACGGGGCTCACCAGCCTATCTGGACCTCGGCAGTGGGGCTTCTAGTTGCCGCCACCCCACGAGCCAGCTGTGCTGGGGAGCCTGAGGCCTCACCACCCCTGTACTGTTGAATGTGTGGCAGTGATTCGCCAGGTGTGTGCATATAATGTTGGAAGATGGTGACACTTCTTGAACAGAGACAGCAAACTCAACAGTATGGTAATCATGGCATTGATCTGAAAGGCAGCAATTTCAAAGAGTTTCTTTCCAGAGAGAACAGCAGGTAGAAAAATTCCAATGGTAGAAGCAGAAAAGAAAATCCACAAAGAAGTAATGAGATCAAAACGGAATAAACTACTAGAATTTTTAGGTGGGAGCTTCCCCATGCTCATTTTAAAGAACTTAAAAAAATATTTTTTAAAAAAATATTTTTTGCTTCTTTTTAAGAATGGCAATTTATGCTCAACTGAGCAACAGTGGCAAGGAGAGGTCAATGCTGACACTCCTGTGAGTCAGCTTGATTATACAATTGCTTAGGCTGCTATCATAGGCTGCTTGACGATCTGGAGGACTTGGCTGAGACCTAATACTAATGCCTTGACATTCTGTGACCAAATACCATGAAAACAGAGAGGGAGGGAGGTTCAGGTAAGTTCATTCCCTTTTTTTTTTTTTAAATGAACCAGAAGGTTCACCTGGCTAAAGCTTATTAAGACTACCATTACTACTACTTTGTGTCACTTGCTAGACTGATTCAAGGTCTGAAGGTCTGAACTGAATTTCTCTATTAGTTAAAAATACACAAAAGATGGGCTCAAAACCATGGCCAGTTTGGCTCTTGTTATTATATATTCCAAGTCATTCATAAACTAGTATTAGTTACGTCTTTATTTTACTGAATAGCAACCTTAGATACGCAGTATTATTTATTGTTAAGGGAAAAGTCTGCCTCTCCAACACAATGATACATGAAATTGAAAAAAACATTTGTGTTCCATGTAGTTACGGAATATGATTTAAAGGCGTCTTTAAGGATTTGAAATGTTTTCCTCCCTATCTTACTTAGTATTTTTAACAAACAAAAACAAGATTTCACAATCTGCTCAAACCAGTCATCCTAGTAGATATTTCTGGAACCTGGAGGCAAACTCCAATAATTAAAAATATGTAACAAAGCCATTTTGTTCAGTTAGCAACTGGAAAATGAAAATTCTTCCCACCCCATAGAAGCCCACATTGTCCTACAGAAGGGCTCAAATATATTTTAAAAGTTAATTTACTACAAATCATAGTAATTAAGCTTTAACAATCTAAAGAAATACACATTGCACCCTTGAACATTAACATTCAAGGTGTCAACAAGAAAGTGTCTTAGATCAATTTAATAAATAATGTGGAAATAGTTGCACTAATCTAAAATACTAAACACACACATTTTGACAAACTAATTTCATGTTTTCATACATACATACATACATACATACATATATATAAAGTGTGTATGTGTACATAATTTTAAAATCCAATGTTGCATACCCTCACACCTAGAAGAGTACACAGTGCACCCCTCCTCTCCATAGTCAGGCATCACCAATGGCAGCGACTACTTGGCTGCCCGGAAACGCCCATGTACTGGCCTCCAGAGCCAGTACTTCTATTTAGAACAGGTGCCTATTCTAGGCTCTTGCTTCAAGAAAGCAAGTTCATTCATTAAAAGTTAAGTTTCCCAAAGTTTCTGTCATTAAATACAAAATGATGCTGTCTGATCTAGTCTGATTAAACCTTTATTTAATGAAAAGAAACAAACAACAATGAAAAACAACAACAACAACAGTGATTTTAATAAAGTCACAAGTGTGTCATTCAAAGTGCAGCCCAGATGCCTATGGATCCATCAGTGCAAGACCGCCCCAGAGGCACAAGCATGTGTGTAGGTGCACACACATTACTCTCGATTGATTTTTACATTGGAGAATTAAATCAGTGCTGATCAGCCTTCTGTCCTCGGTCGCTAAAGCTATAAATCTATCTAAACATACCAGTACTCACTGCTTATAAAGTCAGTTCTTGGCTACTTGCACAGAAAAAGGTGGCACAGAGGCAAGAAATGAGCTGAGTGCTTGTCAGCCAGACTAGAGCCTGGGCTGAGCTGTGGAAGCTTGAACAGCAAGGAGAGACGAGCTCTCTGCAGTCCAGCCCAGGCTGACAAGACTACTGGGCGACAACCTATCCACTGGAATCCGTGTGCTAGTTGTCTGTAGAGTCCAATGGTGTCGGCTGCAGCCTCCTGGCATACAAGTGAGGTCTTAAAGAGCAGTCAACAGTAATTTTTAAAATAGTTGCTATTTCTATAGTTAACTATATAGTAAGTACAAGTCTCAGACTAAGTTTTTAGCCATTTGTCAATTTCAGTTTTAAACTGTTAGAAAATGCTGAAGACCTACTGAGAAGGCAGGAATGGTTGCCTATGTGGGAGACAAAGTACATGCTGGAACAGATGATAGCAGACATCTGAGATGGACCCAGAGGAGAGGTGTTTTCACAGACTACAGCATTACGGAATTGGAGATTCAATTTCTTAGAACAACATTTTGATCCATTACCCATTAACTGGGAAGAGGGATCTTCTATGATGAAAAGCTTGAAAAACTCGTTCTCCAAGAATTAACACATTTTTAAAAAGAAGAGTATCTTAGAGCAGCACCATAAATCATGCAGGAGACTCTGCTTTAACAAAATACCAGTGTGACCCCAGAAATGTTCCTGCTGCCTTTCAGGATATACAAGATCTCAGAACACATGGAGCTCAGAGGCACCCCATTGGTGGCTGTTGCTCACAGTCCAGAAGCCTGAATGGTACTTTTTTTCATTTATAAGACATCAATGCAAATTGAGGAATCAGGGTCAGAAAAATCAAGAGGACAGGATACACTTTTATACACAAAATTAACTTTTGTGTCCTCTTAAGGAAAACTGCTTGTAACGCATACGATATTAAATAAAAAAGGCATTAGAGACAGTTTCTCTGAGGGGAAAAAACGGTCAGATTCAACAAAATTTGTAGATGTTAATGTTCAGTGATATGTAATAAACAAATTGAGGTACAAAACTGTTAAGAAGCTCATATAAATATGAAGCCACTGGACAATGAAAGTTTACAAACCTCAGAAGAGACTCAAGCACAGAGGATTCACTGCACCATTGGACTTGGAGATTTTCTAAGCCTTCTTTACCCACCTTCCATCTACAGCCTCAGCAATCATCTCTACATAGTAGGGTAATCCTTTCTGCCGACAAGATGGATTAATTTTTAGAATGGGGAGAAGGATGAACTCTTTTTGGAAGTGTTGTTACCCAACAGGTTAGACGAAGACATGTTCCAAACTACTTACTAGTTTTTCTGAAAGAGTTAGTCCTTGTATAACTCTCATGAAAGATTTAGAAGAAAACAGAATTTAACATGATTACTGCAGAAGACCAACCACATAAAGCTGGGCAACCTGTTCCTAGTGTAAAACTTCATCTGTAAACAATCCACAGAGTATACATCTAAAGGTAAGATTTAAGGCACACCAGACATGATAGGGGCACTAAAAACAAAGTATAGCAGGTACATTTCTAACCTTCCACTCCTACAAGCATCTAGTAGGGAAAGGTACTTTGATATGCAACTCTTACAGAGCTGGCTTCTTAAATTCTACCCCTGCTACCCTCTCCTCCCCAAGAGCTCACACTGTAACAAGTTAGATCCTTTCTAGTGTGATTTTTCTGCTCCCATCAGAAACATACATCATCCATGCAGGTCCTCTTAACACAAAGGGAATAAATACAAGATAGATAGGTTTAAAAGAAGAAATTCATCCTCTCTTTATCAGGCATTAGAAATGTAAAGCTGTAGAGCAAGAACACACACAAAAATTCCAGCCCATTCCTACCTTGGTCACTGCATGCTCTTGTCAGAGTAAAACAATCTAGTATGGGGAAAAGAAATTCTTAAAAGTAAGCATCTGAAGAGAGATTTTAATCTTCAGACATTACCAATTAAGGAGATTTAGGCAGCAACCCCTGGGAGCTGGATTCTTTCTTTCAACAGTAATTCACTGTTTAAGGTTCAAAATTATTAGCAACAAAAAAGAACAGTTTTAATAAAATCCTTAATGTTCAAAATTGTCCCTTTATGAAACCCTTTGCATGATGTACTTCTCCTAGAAAGCTTTCCTGCCCTCTTCTGTAACGCATTAAATGCAAGATATAGTCACCTTGTGATTGAGTTAGTGTTATTAACACGTTTCACAGTTCTTGAAATAATGCATACCAAATCAGACACATTTCTTTCATCTTTCATGCACACAGAGTGCCATCTTCTCATATATAAGTGATTTTTCATGTGGAGAATATCCTTAATACTAAATATAAATTCTGCAATAAAACTGTAGTTAAGATTTGAAAGAATATCAGGTAGTAGGTGTGGAAAGTATATGTTCATATCTATGATGAACCAACTCTTATTCCTTTGTAAGAGCTATCACAAAGACACTATTAGGTAACAAAGCTCACAAAGAATATAAATAAAAATACCTACATTAAATTTATGCTAATATTTAACAAAGTAAATTTATAGGTAGAAATAACTAAACTTTAAACTAGACCCAATCTGGGAACTTAAAAATTTCAAATAAATAGAATTTCAATTGATTAGTTATGAACTGCAACTGGAATTTCAAAATTATTACAGATAAATGAAACCATTTTATCAATGTGCTAAAGACATAGAAGTATTTAAGTAACTTTTCATATCAGGGACATTGACAGGATTAATTGACATGATGGCATGGGTTTATAAAAAATAACAACATATTAACCAGGGAAGAGAAAACCATTCCTCATTCTTAGTGTCGACTAGGTGGCATGTTATGGCAGTTTTCCTTCGTGATGTGACACAGTGTTGTGGAGAAAATCAGAGGCAACGAGAATGTGTTCAGTTCAAGATATCAACTTGGCGTCCTGGCGAAGCCAGTGCAGTCCCTGCCGGGTGTAACGAACTAGGTCTGTCATGATGCTTGCGTTAAAGATGAGAGGGCCCATTACTTTATCCAGTTCAGCAAAGAATTCTAGAAAACCAAAAGCATTCATTAAATCATGTAAAACCTTTAGAATCATTGCTTCCAGATCTTTAGTTTAGACTGTAAACTGGCATTCATATAAAGTAAAAACCAAACCAAACAATTTCCTTCCCACTAAAAGGATTAGTGTTCAAATTTTAGAACAAATCATTCCATAGTATCTCAAGTTAAGCTTTTTCCCAAGTTACGTAACATTTTTTTCTTTTTTTTTGTTACATAATATTTTAAACAGAATGTATGGCCAGGAATTATATGTTAAACAAATAAACAGAATTCTAGGAAAGAAATTAGAATTTGCTACTATGCAGGTTAAGTATTATTAAAATGGAGACTTTGTGCCATAATGCACTATTTTTGTATAAAATGCAAGTGGTATAAAAAAGGATATGTTTTGCATGCCTCCTCTAAAGAGACCCTGTAGTTAGATGTCTGTATCTAACCTTCCTGCTATGATCTTATGATATTCACTACTAATACAATAAAACTTGTTTTTAGTCAGAAGTTTAAAATTTTAAGGGATGGAATTAAAAGGACTCTTTCAATGTGAACAAAAAGGCTAGTGTGCTTATAAGGGAGATGTGGTGGACAGGAGAGGATGGCAGTGTTCTAAGAGTTGATTCTCATGCAACTTTGAAAGAAAACTGAGACATGTAGGAACCAGACAGCAAAAAAGAGGCTGTTTTAAAGTACAAAAAAAAAAAAAATTAAGATAAAGATCTCAACATATTAAAAGAAGATAAAAAGTAACTAAACAGTTGAAAAGGTTTGTCTTTCCAGATTCCAGTTAATAAATGTAAAAGGAATGTCAGAATGGAAACAAAGAATGGATATATGCAAGGATCAACAATAATGAAAGCATAAGTTTAATAGGAAAGCTTTACACCAAATTCATCAGCCTGACACTTCAACTTACTGATAAATCACTAAAAGGGTATAATTATTACATGCCTCCTAATATAGTATAATCCATTTTCATTTTTTTCTTTCTCCTCTTTTCTTCCCTCCGTTTCTGTTTTTACAATGATCTTTCTGCTTTCTTCATGGATGATATCTTTGATAACAACCTATAACTCATCTGGTCTTCAAGCATTGCTTTAAGATGATCATGAAATTCAGATGAAATAGATTCAAGATCTTATCTTGGTTCCTGTGGACTTACTTTAATTTTCTTTGACCTCAATTTGAACTTCCAGATGAGTAATTGATGATCTTACCCACAGTCTGCCCCTGGCCTAGTTTTGACTGGTGATAAAGAGCTTCTCCAATGATTTCTTCCCCAAATGTAATCAATCTGATTCCAGTGCAGCCCATATAGTGAAATTCATGTAAAGTTGTCTTTTGTGTCTTTTAGAAAAAGAATTTGTAATGAATAAATCATTGTAAATACAAAATTCAATCACTCCATTTCCAGCTTCAATTCTATCATATTATCCAACTACCGTTCCTTCTTCACCATTTCCTACTTTTGCACTCCAGTCACCAATTATCTTTAATGCATCCTGATTGCTTGTTCAGTCAATTTCAGACTGCAAAATTTGATAAAAATTCTCAACTTCTTCCTCTTTGGCTCTAGATGTAGGAATGTATATTTGAATAATAGTCATGTTAATGGGTCTTCCTTGTACACATCCAGATACTGCTAGAAGTTCAAGCAGGATTTTGAAGAGGCTGCGGCACTTGGGATATCACTGCTGATGTCAGATGGATCCAGACTAAAAGTAAGGAACACCAAAAGAATGTCTATTTGTGCTTTATTTTATTGACTATGCAAAGGCTTTTGAGTGTGTGGATCATGACAAGTTGTGGTTGACACTGAGAAGAATGGGACTCTTAGCACTTGACTGTGCTCATGAGGAACCTATACCTGGATCAGGAGGCTACTGAGTGAAGAGAGCAAGGGACCACTGAGTGGTTTGGAATTGGGGAGTGCAGCAGGGTTGTATTCTATCTCCATACCTGTTCAATCTGTATGCTGAGCAAATTATCTGAGAAGCTGGATGCTATGAAGAAGAGTGTGACATCAAGACTGGAGGGAAACTCATCAATAACCTGCATTATGCAGATGACACAAACTTACTTGCTAAAGTGGGGAGTCCTGAAGCACTTTATTGCAGAAGATCAAGGAAAGCAGCCTTCAGTATGGACTGCATCTCAATAGCAAAAAAACAAAGATTCTACCACTGGACTAATAGGCAGTGTCATGATGGAAGGAAAGGAGATTGAAACTGGCAACAGCTTCATCTTGCTTAGATCCACAACTAACATCCTTGGTACAAGCAGTCAGGAAATAAGAAGACACATTACACTGGGAAAATCTGCAGTTAGAGACCTTTCCAAATTATTGAGGGGTAGTAATGTCAGTTTGAGGACTAAGGGGCGTCTGATTCAGGCCATGGTCTTTCCTATTACTTGCTATGTATCCAAGGTGTACACTATGAATAAGGATGATAAAAAAAGAGTTGAGACCTTTGAGGTGTGGTGTTGGAGAAGAGTACTGAACATCCCATGGATGGCCAAGACAATGAAGAGATATGTCTTGGAGATGGTGCAGCCGAAGTGCTTTTTTGGAGGTTAAGAATGATGAGGCTTTGCCTCACATACTTTCGATATATTGCTAGGAAGGGCCATTCCTTGGAGAGGGACATGATTTGGTAAGGGTGGAGGGTCAGCGAAGGATAAAAAGACCCTCAGCCAAGTGGACTGATACGGTGACTGCGGCAATGTAATGTTGTGTGTCAAGAAGTGTGAGGATGGCACAAGACAGAAAAGGGTTTATATCTTTTGTTCACAGGGTTTCTATGTGTTGTGCTCAACTCAATGGCATCTAACGACAACAATACAGTACAATAGGAAATACAGACCATGATCTATGAATTGTTCTTATCTAAAATTCTGAAGGTGAAGCTAATCGAGACCCAAGATATAAATGTCACTCTAAGAAGTAAGAAGAATAGAAGAAAAGTTAAAGGGCATCACAATAAGGAAGCAATATGTCAAATCCAGGATCTGACACAATCTATGACTGAGTTTCTCTCTACTATCAGTGATCAATAAAATTGGATAGGGCGGGAGGATTGCTAGAATATAAAAGGTAATTAGGGGATTTACCAATGAAGTGCAATGTGTAGACATTGTTTGAATCTTACTTAAACCTGTTTTAAAAAGGCATATTTGAGACAATAGGGAAACTTAGTGGTAGATTAGAGATAGACCACATAAAGTAGTTACCGATCATTTTGGTAGTTTTGAAGAGAGTAAGTGGTCATGTTTTTGAAAAAATGTGTACCACATAAGGATGCATACCCAAGTATTTTCAGGAGGAAATGCCATGATATTTGGTTATTTACTTTAAAATATTCCAGGTAGGGGAAAGAGCATGTTCATGTGTGTAAGTAATATATGAGACAAAAAGGGCATAATGTCAGGTTACTGAAGCTCAAGTTGGATGAAAGGTAAATGGCAGTTACAGGATTCTCTTTTCTTTGATCAAGTTACTACAACAAAAAGTTTCAAGGGAAAAAATTGCATCAGGAGAAGAATGGATAGCAAGAGTGACTAAGAATGACCTTTCAAATGTATCTGGACGAATACAGACACTCTGAATTTTAGAAATCATGTACTTTGACAGGAATCCTTCATTTTTACCTAACTACCTATTCATACTCAAAGAATAAGGCTGACAGAAGAAAAATTGATGCCTTTGGTCTGTGGTGTTGGAGAAGAGTACTGAATATCCCACAGACTGCCAAAAGAACAAACAGGTAAGTCTTGAGAAGATGCAGGGAAAGTGCTGCTTGGAGGCAAAGCTTCATCTCACATTCTGAGGGCATGCTGCTAGGAGAGGCTATTCCTTGCAGAGGGTTATCATGCTTGAGAAGGTAGAGGGACAGCAGAACAGAGGAAGACTCTTGATCAGTTGGACTGACAAGTGACTGCAGCAATGGGTTCAAGTGTGTCAGAGATGGTAAGGATGGCACAGGATTCGCAAGAGTTCAGATCTGTTGTTCACAGGATCACTTTTGAGTTGTACTCCACTTGATGGGGCCTAACAATATCAACCTACTCATGCTACAAAGTTTAAAAGAAAAGGAATTGTGACAAAAGGACACTTGATTAATTGGCTTATTTAGTGTTTCTTTAAGAAAGGGACTAAATGAATAGATGTCATACATACATTTGCTAGTAACATCTACTAAAATAGGAAAGATCGTATTCATACAGTACTCTTTCTTAAGGAAGAGCTCTGGTGGCTTAGGGGGCAGAGAGCTGTGCTGCCAACCCATGGACATGTGGTTCAAATCCACCAGCTGTTCTGAGGAACAAAGATGGGCAAGCTTCTTCTGTGTAATTTAATTTAGTCTCTGACAAATCTGCTGGAGGGTCAGCTATGAGTCAGTCTGACTTGATAGCAATGAGCTGATTTTTGTTGTTGAGTTATTAAGTAGTCACTCTTTAGGAAAGAGCTCTGGTAGCATAATGCATTGTACGTGGGGCTGCTAAACCGTTATGTCTGTGTGAGCACTTGCTGCTCCATGAGAAAAAGAGGAGGCAGTCTGCTCCAATTATTTACAGCCTTGAAAACCCAAGGGAGAGTTGCCATGAGTCAGATCAGATTCAACGGCAGTGGCTTTGATTTTTGTTTTCCTTAAGAAGCCCTGGTGATACAAATAGAACAGCACTGCACAACTTACTGGAAGGCTGGCAGTTTGAGTCCATCCAGCTTTTCAATAAGAAAAAGACCCTGTGATCTGCTTCTGTAAAGATTACATTTAGAAAAATCTCATGAGGCAGTTCCACTGTTACATAATATTACTGAGTCAGAAACAACTAAGGTAAGAATCTTTAAATATTTTATGATTTTCTATGTCCCTCACTTTGGTGACCTAGCAGTGCCATTCTAAAGGTAGGTAGCTCATATCCACCAGCTGGTCCATAGGAGAAAGGTGAGCAATCTCCTTCTATGTGATTTATAGCCTCTGAAAGCCCAACGGACGGTCAGCTATAAGCTGGCTCTGGATCAAAGGCAGTAAGTGACTGAATTTGGAAAAAGAGTAAAAGGAAAGTACAAAGCTTGGAGTAATTTTAAAGAATTCCAGGAAGTTTATTAATGCTACAACCTCTGTTATCATGAATGTTTCTTCCAATTTATCTAATAACCCAGGGTGTACATGATTTCTTATAGTAAACATCCCAGGTGTACAAAAAGTTTGGATGTAATCCTAAGCATGTAGGCAAATTATTGTTAACGATCCTAGAACAAAATTTCTGGTGTATTAAAATACATGTTTTATTTAACATTTAATGCTGCATTTAATGTACTTGAAGAATATTTGTTTTAGACCAAGAACTGTTCTTAGTTTCATTTGTGTGTCACCAGTGTCATGAAAAGTTGTTATAAACATAATTGTTACATTCAGTATGAGTGCTAAGCAATGAGCATTAGCAAATTGATTATGGCTGACTCATAGATAATAACCTAAATACAGGGCAGATACTAATTAGATCATTAAAAGCTCCTTATATCAATCCTATTTATCAGTCAACATTTTCCCAGAGACCCACTTACCTTTTTGCTCTTTGGAAAGCTGTTCAGCTTGGTCCCAAATTTCAGTGGCATAGAGGAAGTTGGATGTAACCTGAACATAGCTGGCTGCCATCTGGTGGATCCGCTGTGAAATGGTCACTGAAGAACCACTTGCTGAAGCACTACTGGCTCCAGAAGAGTAATTTCCTGAATTGCCAGGCGACAGTTTTGGAGAAACAGGAGAAGGCATCCCCGCAGCTTTGCTACACACAAAGAAACTTGTTCATATGGATGTAGTGAACAGCATGACATCAAAGCACTAGGGGCTCTTCTCACATGAAGTCTTTAAAATTTTAAACTAGACTAATTCTCAGTAAGTACATTTTCTTCTAAGTACAAATTTCACTAAAGGCCATTGCGAGTGATGATTTTATCCAGATCCTTTGTTTTAATGAATGGCAACAGATCAAGTAATGAGAAACAACTGAAGTCACACACTTTGTTGGTTGAAGTTCAAAGACTTAGAAACCAGATCTCCTCAATCCTAGTACTCCATCATTCTGGCACACAATTAGTTATCTTTAAAATTGTGTTGGAGAGGTCCATAAGACTTAACAAGCCAAAATTTTGTGATGGTAAAAGAAAGTATTTTATTTTGAGCTCCAAAATTTCTGGCAAATTCCTAGTTTAAACAAATTACTCAAACCTGACAAACAGGTACCATTTCTTTTCAAACATCTTAGGGTTCCTTTCAACTAAATATTTCTTATCCACTGCCATCGAGTTAATTCTGACAGTGACCGCAGAGGGCAGTGTAGACTGCCCTACTAGGTTCCCAAGGCTTTAACATCCTCACAGAAGCAGACTGCTACATCTTTCTCCCAAGGAGCAGCTGGTGGGTTCGCATTACCAACCTTCTGGTTAACCACTTAGTGTTTTAACCACCATGCCACCAGGGCTCCTTAAGTATTTCTTAGAAAACAAATGTGTTGAAATCTGACATGATTCAATTCTGGAATATTGAAAATTGCAAATATGCCTAAGCCTATTATCCTATACTAATAAAAGGAAAATCGGAAACTTTTTTGCAGGAGAGCTCTTAAGAATATTTTTATTTGTATTCTTTTCATCTTAAAAATTTGGTTAAAAATTACACGAAAGGGAAAGAAAGAATGCGAATTCATATGAACATAATAACTGAATAGGGAAATTTAGCACAATCAAAAGTTTGATGGTATTTTTTTTCTCCTTTTGAGGATGGTTAGGATGGTGATGTGGGAATGGAAGATAAACTACAATCACGTCCACTATTATTAAATTCTGGCAGTGTCAAGACTTGAATAAAGAGATGCCTACGTAATAAATTGTAAGAAATGATGGCAATTAAGACTATGAAAAGGACACAGAACTCATGTTAGAAAACTCAGATGTTATGCTTTTGAGCTGTGGTGCTGGAGAAGGGTACTGAATGTACCCTGGACTGCCAGGAAAACAAACAGATTTATCTTGGAGAGGATTAAACCAATCTACTCCTTGGAGGCAAGGATTCTGGGGCTTCGTCTGACATACTTTGGACATGTTGCCAGGAGGGACGGGTCCTTGGAGAGGGACATCATGCTTGGGAGGGTTGAGGTACAACGCAGGAGGGGAAGACCCTCTATGAGATGGACTGATTCGGTGACTGGGGTAATCGGGATGGGTGTGCCAGAGGCGGTGCGGTTGGCACAGGATAGAGCAGGGTTTAGGGCTGTTGTGCATAGGGTCGCTATGAGTTGGAAACGACTCGACGGCACATAATAACAACAACAACAAGATTATATTAATTTCTATTTTGAATTTATAAAAAATAAACAGAAAAGAAAATTACTACTTCTAATATAACATTAAAACATTATATTAAAAACAATTAAACAATCTATTTTTGGAAAATAAACCCTATCCATTTAACTTTTATATTATAATCAATTGGCACAAATGATATTTTTTAGGATATAATTTTACCTACCTTCCCAACCCAGGTGATGGTGCTTGAGAATTATTATAGGAATTCTGCAAAGAAAATATAATGTACTTAATAATTTGAAAAACAAACAGAAACACACTGCTTATGAAGAACTAAATGTATTTCAAAGCTAGGTCAGAACAGAGCTCAAGAAGCTTTATACAATTAAGAGAACAAAGAGTGGGTGTATATGTGTGTGTGTGTGTGTGTGTGTATACACACAGGCATACGTACATGCACGCGTGTGTGTAGAAAGGGAGAGATGTGTCAAAGGGAGCTATTTAGTAGAAACTGTAAGTGTCCTAGAAGACTTCACAGAAGATGCAGGGATGAAGGGTAACACTCAAACAAAATGTCATAGCGAGTGAGTCATAGAATGTACAAAGCCTACAGAAAAACCATGTATGTGACCCATATATTTGGCTATGGTGGAGGTATAGGCAAAATAAGAAGGGAACCTTGAAGATCTTGCAGGCCAATGTTCCAAGAAAGGTTCCAAGTGATGATCAGGCCAGGATTTTAGGGAGACTATATATGAAGACATTTTAAGAAACTAAGATAAAAATGTCACGAAGGCATTCTGATGATGGCAGAAGGATAATGTTTAAAAGTAGAAATTAAGTTGTTATTGTGGGCCATTGAGTCAGAACTGACTCATAGCTGATCCTCCAGGGTGTTTTCAGAGGCAGTGCATTGCACTGGAGGAGACTGCTCAATTCTTTCCCTACAGAGCAGCTGGTATACCTTTGCAATACCTTTGGAATTGCAGCACAGTTTCTTACCACTATGCCACCAGAGCTCCTTTAAATGAAATCAGGCTTTATAATAAAAATGTTACATCTAATAAAATGTTATTAAGAGCTCTGACATGGCTCTATAGGTTCCACAATAGACTATATCTGCAATTACTATAGGTTTAAAATTTTTTCCTTAGATTTATTTGAAAGTACTCAAGTAGCAGCTCCTCTCTTGCTGCGGGCAGCTATTAGGCATGTCCAGGGTAAGCACTGGGACTTGTTAAGTTTTGTCTCTTAGGAAATGAATCCTCCTTTTCTATGCACACTTACTTTCAGATGTTCTGTCAATGTCTTTGAGTACTTCAGAGCATTCTCCTTCTTCAGTTTGAATAGCCTTAGGTACAGCAAAGACTGGCATCGTAGACTAGAAAATGGAAAAAAGTAGCTTATTTACTAGGATGTTAGACTGACCACATCTGCACGGTTGTGTTTTGCACTGTGTAAAAATACAGGGCTGACTTATGGGAGGAGACCCTGACAAATAAAACCTACTGCTTACTGAGTCAATTCTGACTCACAGGGACCCTGCAGGACAGACTGGAACTGTCTTTTGGGGGTTCTGAGGCATCTTTATGGAAGCAGACCACTGCACCCTTCTCTTGCAGACCTAGGACCAGCTTATCATTATCTGCTGACATTAAAAAACAAAACAAAACAAAACAAAACAAAACAAGACCTTACCTACCAGACACTGACATATCATTGTAACATGCACTAAAAAAAAAAAAAGTATATAATTTCCAGGTCAAATGAAAAAACTTTGAAAACGAAACTCATTACTGTCAAGTCAATTTTAACTCATATAAACTTTAAAGGACAGTGAAGAATTATCCTACAGGATTTCTAAAGCTGTAAACTTTGTGGACTCAGACTGCCACATCTTCCTCTTCTGGAACCGCCAGATGGGTCTGGATCACCAACTTATGCTTAGAGGCTGAAGGCTTAACCAATATGTCCCTAGGACTCCTTGATAAAATTCTAAATCTAAAATTCAAGAACAAACAAAAATCCTAGAAAAGTCAATTATGAATGAACAGTGTAACAAGAAACATACAAACCTTAGTGTGTCTTAGAAAAGTTCTTCATGCTACCCTTGCCTACCCTTCTAGTTACCTATACTTCTTATTGGTCTGCTTTTATTTCTTTAAAAGTTTCAACTCGTAGGGGAGCTCTGGTGGCCTGGTGGCAAGAAGCTGCAACTACAATCCCAGAGGTGCACGGTTTGAATACACCAGATGCTCTGCCAGGGAAGGAGGGGTAAGCTCCTGTACCAGTCAGATCTGACTTGACGGTACACACACACAAAAATAATAAAATAAAATTTAAAAAATATTAAAAAAAACACATGTATTCTATATAAAAAAAAAAGTTTCAACTCCTTTCCATCCAGTCCTTTTATTTGGCTGTTTCCTCTGCCTAGAAAGTATGCCTCCCTATTCTCCACTCTTACAGTTACATACATTTTTCTCTCAGAGTAGTTAATTCTCATATAACTATTTGATCAATTTTGTCTGTTCACACTAGAGATCCATTCCCTGAGGAGGAGGATCATGTCTTAGTCACAGCTGTGGTCCCAGTATTAGACATACACCCAGGCCACACACATGAGCACTACCAAATGAATGGGTAAGCTCCCAGAAAACAAATAAACAAGTCACACTCTATTTTGAGCAAAGAAGAGGGACACTGGAGCTCTATCTGGTGTAAATACCCACTCTACTATGGGCAAAACAAGAATTGTCAAAAGTCAAGGCTGCTGAAACATTTTGCTTTCAAACATGCATCTTTTATCTGCTGCTCTCTAAGGAAAATGAATATATCATATATATAATGAAGGGAGAGAGAAGGTACCAAAAGAAGCCCCCAGAAAAGTGATCAATTAAGATAGTGGTGGGTTCTACTACCAGCTCCTTTTTACCACGGCATTCCTCAAGAATACAATGGATCAGAAACTAGTAACAAAACATCCTTTCAAGGGGAATCCTATGTTATTTCCTCATTAAAAAAATAATTTAAGATAGGGTTATAAAGTTGAGTCAAAGATAAGTATCAGATTCAAAGAATACAAAATAAAACTGGTTATGGAACTGCCTGTTGTCTAATAGCAGAGAAAATAGAAGCATATTTACCAAAGTACTGTGAGTCTTTTATCTGCAGCTGTAGCATCTGGTGCCAAGTAATTCTTTAGTTTCATAGTGTATCTGAGAGTAACAGCAACAGGAAAAAATATTACAAGCAGAACACTTCATCTTGAGCAATTTACTGTCTCTGAAAACCCACTGGAGTGTTAGCTATTGGTTCATTTCAATTTGATGACACACAACACCCACTGAAAACACCTCGTTCTCTTTATGCAAGGACCCAGGTGGACCAAAGAGATGTTACAACCAGAGATGTGAAAACCTTTCCACTTACTTGATGAGCTCCACTGTCTCTGAATACATAAGGAATGGGGACTTGGATTCCTGAGCATTTTTCTCTAATGCATTCCCACATTCAATGAAAGATACCACAGCATCAAGATAGTATACTGCTTTCTCAAACCTATCAGACTGAAGAAAGGAGAGTAAAGGTAGTGAGAACTATGGTCCTACAGTTATGAACAACTAATAATTATCTTAATTAAATATAAAAACCTGTGGAGAATGTTTACATACCAATGCATCTGCATTGTGCTTTAGCTTTTTTGCTTCTTGTAAATAATGGTCTGCCGAATAATTTCTGCAATGTAAATTTTTATTAATAAATAAATTGGTAAGCATTTTCATAAGATATTATTAGTTTATTTTGACTCCAAAATATCCGCTAGTTTTCATGTCCTCAAATAAAGTAACGACTAAATATTTGTTTCAGTCTTTTTCTGACAAGTGTATATATCAGGATGAGAACATAAATCACCTTGGCCAGTTAGTTCAAAGTCGCCTACTCAAAAATTAGAAATCAGGCTCCACAGTATTTAATGTTAACTTACCCAGGTTGTTTCAAAGGTTATCGTAAATTAAATGTGTATCAGGAAAGACTGGAAGCAGGAGTGGCATCCACTTCCTAAACAATATGCCTCCGTAAACTATAAACTTTGATAAATGTCAATGGTTGTAGAAGGGCTTCAGCCCTTTTGTTCGGAGGGTCACTATGAGTTGTGCTGGACTTGAAGATTATCAACAACAACAACAATCAGGAAAAATTACTGGTTAACAAGATTTACAGGAAAGGGAGGAAACGCTTACAGTAAAACTCTTTCTTATTAAATACAGACCCTCACTTAACTAACCCCCCTCCCCCAACAGATAAAGCCCCTTTCATGCACGCATATCTGCTGAAAAGTCTTCTAAAATAGTGAAACCAGAAACAAGTAAGATTTTACTACAAAGCATATCACTCACATCCCCTATGTTAGCCATGGAGTCAGTTAAAGAAGGAATACATGGGCTAATGAGTGCCTTGCTACTTAAAATCTGACTACCTGGTAGATCATAACACATTACAAGTATTAATACTTCTGATCACTAATAGAGATGAAAATTTATTAACATAAAAAAACTCATGCTCATCTCACCTGTCATCAAAAGCAAGCTTTGTCCTCCGAGGTTTAGAAGCATCAGGAGTTGGTGTGGATGGAGGACAGTTAGAGGAGCTATTTGGAGCCTTATCCTGACCAAATGAAAAATACATAGCTATGTTGAAAACGGCAAGAAAATGAAAGGTTAAACTTTCATAAGTATTTTTTTTTCTTAATAAGATTTATTTTATTTTATTTTAATGAAAGTTAACAGAGACTTTGGAACTCTATTAATTAATTGCTGCACACTCTTCTCCCTGTCCACCCCTCCCCCGAGTCCGTGGAGAAAAAAAAATCTTTCATTGTTATATAATCTCTCCCTCCCCCCCCCCAATTCACCATGTAGCCTTCATTCTGTTTATAAGTATTCTTAACTAGTGAAATGTCATTGCCTTTGGTAATTAATTTCCCTGCTACAAAACTTTAAAACTTCAGAAGATGAAAGTCACTGGAGGGTCAACTAAGAGGTGGTTCTGACTCTACAGTACATAGTGACAATAATATAAAAATGGGGAGCTCTGGTGGCCTAGTGGCAAGAAGCTGCACTGCAATCCCAGAGGTATGCTAATAAAAATAAAAATGGCAGCACTACTTGGAAAATTTTTGGTAATTATTGATCAGTAAAAATTAACAATAATATCTGTTTACCAGAGGTTTAGTAGAGAGCTCTGGTGGTGTAAGTCTGAAGTGAGCTGAGTAACTGACCCAAACGCTATTCATCTCTGGCAGTTCAAATTCACTGCTTCACAAAAAGTGTCTCCACAACGAAAGTACTCTCCTCCCATTATGATTTACTGCCTAGGAAGCTCAATGGAGGGCATGATGAGTCAGATTTTATTTTAAGGCAGTGAGTTCTTAAGTTTGTAGGCTCAGTTCTTACTTGCCAGGCATGGAGTCAAACAAATACTTGCTGTGTGCCATAGAGTCAGAATCAACCCACAGCTGACCCTTAAGCAGATTTTCAGAGGCTATAAATTGTAGAAGAGGAGACTGCCCTTCCATCTCCCATGGAGCAGCTGGTGGATTCAAACCATGCATCTTTGGACTACAGTGCAGCTTCTTACCACTAGGCCACCAGAGCTCTCTAACTAAGTACTTTGTTGTTGTGTACCATCAAGTCAGAAGTGACCCATAGCTGACCCTCCAATGGGTTTTAAGAAGCAGTTAATTACATGGGAGGAGACTGCCCATCCTTCTCCCACAGAGCGGCTGGTAGGTTCGAACTGTGTGCCTTCAGGTTTGCTGTACAGTTTCTTACCACTAGGCTCCCAGAGCTCCCTAACCAAGTACTGAGGCATAGTAAAGCTCTCAGCAACCCTGTGTAGTAAGAAAGAAGGGAACTCTAGTGATGTAGTCCATAGGGAGTTATGGTGTTAAACCAAATTGCTCTCTAGCATTTTGAAGCAACCAGGCACTATGAGGGAGAAAGATGGGAAATCTCCTGTGTGATTTAAAGCCTCAGAAACTCACTGGAGAGCCCTCTTATGAGTCAGTTCTGAGTTGATGGTAATGAGTTATTAGAACAGACTAAACAAGCAATCTTGAAAAGATGTGTAACCTGCCTAAGCTCTAACAGCATTTAAATAGTAGTCTGTGAGTACAGACTTTAAGACTAGACTGATCTGATATCAAAAATCAAGCTCTTTTTTTAAACTTTATAGTCTTCCCAAATACCTCTCCATACAACTTTACATAAATAACATTTTTCCCATAATCAAAACAAAGTGGAATTTATTCCACAAATACATATTTAAATACTATAAATCCACTGATGTAATTTTACACTTTTGCATAAAATCTATTTAAAATAAACCATTAAAATTTCTTTCACCCCTGATCATTATGCTGTTCAGTTTCAAGTAATAAAAATCAAGAGTCTTGAGATTTAAGAAAACACTGAGCTCTTTATGTTAAGGTTTCAAAGTTTTTAAAATTACTTCCTGGATATTATGCTGCAACATAACACCATTAGGATAGTTGTCTCTCTATGTTTTATAAAGAGCCCAGTAAGTCCCTAAGTTTGTTTGAGGGAAACTTGAGTTTTCTGAAAAGAACGAACTTCCAGACATTGACAGTTTTATATAGTAAAATGAAAACTGGAACCTATGTAAAAAAATCTATCACAGCTGGAGAACTGAAATGTTTTCCACTAAAATAAGTGATAAAAAAGTGAAGACTGCATCATAATGAAGGTAGGAGACGTGCAAGACTTGGGATATTAAGGCAAGCAGGCCTGTCAAGTTTCAGTTCTCTCAAAGGTTTTTCTTTGTAGAAAGATTCAATATGATTTTGATTTTCCAGACTACTTTCTCTTTAGTTGATATAACAGAAAAAAAATAGATTTTTAACTAAATTACAAAATCGTATGTAATATACTCATGTGTAGCTGCCTAAATTGAAAACTGCCAATACTAACATGAACGGCTCTAGTAACTGTTAGGTGCCTTAAGATCTTCAAATCAAAGTGGTCAGGCCTCTTTTATAGTTTGACAGTAACAAGAAAATAATGCATGATGATACTCAATTAGACAAATATTCCCTGATTACCTAGCGAGCTAAGCACTGGATCAAACAAAAGATAAGTCACAATTCCCTGTCTTGAGGAAGCTGACAAATGAGCAGAAGAATTCAAGTAACAAATACATGCTCCTTAAAAACAATCCTACAGTTAAAGAATGGAAAACAAGAAAGAACCAGTTTACAGGCCAATGGAGAAGTGGACAGAGATGAAGCCAACAGAACAATAGGTTCCGAGCTTGCTCAGCTCCACAATCAATACCCTTGGCACCAGCAGTCAGGAAATCAAGACAAACTGCACTGGGGAAATCTGCCGTCAGGGACCTCTCCAGAGTGCTGAGAATGCAATGATGTCAGTCTAGAGACTAAGGTGCGCCTGATTCAAGCCATGGTCTTTGCAATTACTTGCTATGCATCAGCAAGCTGGACAATGACTAAGGATGACAGAAGAATTGATGCCTTTTACTTGTGGTGCTGGAGAAGAGTCCTGAGTATACCATGAACTGTCAAGAAAACAAATAGGTCTGTCTTGGAGAGAGTGAAACCAAGTTTCTCCTTGGAGGCTAGGATTTTAGCTCCATCTCACATACTTTGGGCACGTGGCCAAGAAGGACTGGTCTTTGAAGAAGAACATCAAGCTCAGAAGGGTGGAGGGACAGCACAAGAGAGGAAGACTGCAAATGAGATGGATTGATACAGTAACTGGGGTAATGGGGGTAGGTGTGTTGGAGTCAGTGAGACTGGTTCAGGGCAGGCTTTCCAGCTGTTGTACACAGGATGCTATGAGCTGAAAGTGACTCAATGGCACATAACAACAACAAAGATGCTAAGGTCAACTCTACATTACTATAGAAGAAGGGTATTCAGATAGGTTTTCAGTATATCTTGATTTAAGAAATTTATAAATAAAATTATCTCAATGTAAAGTATGTAAAAACACTTTATAAGCATGACTTGATACTTTTTCAATTCTTAAACCTTTGTTTACTTATGTCACAAATAAGAGCTCACTGAATTATAGCCCTAAAAATCCAAATATTCATTTTATCTTGTATTCTCAGATTTCAGGGAGTTTACTCCTAATCATAATAGCTTTGAAAGAAATACAAACAGCTGTCATCAAATAAAATGTGTATGAATGAAGAAAATAATGTGTATGAATGACTGAATGAAAAACCATTTTGTCCTCTAAACTTTCACAATCAAAATATATTTAAAAAATATTAAACGCCATACAAATACTTGATAAACAAGTTAGAGTTCTTTAAAGTATATAGCCTTGAAAAGGCCTCTTTGATCTAATTCTTCATCCATGGATATTTTCTCATACAGTTTAAGCAATGCTTTAGGAATAAGCTGGTGCTAGTTCAAAGCCTGGTGCTAGCTCTGGTGGCCTAGTGATAAGCAGCTGTGCTATAATCCCAAAGGCATGTGGTGTGACTCTCCTACCATGCAATTTACTGTCTCTGAAAACCCACTGGTGGGTCAGCTACTTTTGGGTCAGTATTATAGGTACTCAACAGTAACAATTCAAATAAAAACTTTTTTCTTATATCTGAATCAAAGGCAAATGGTTGTTTTCTGACTTTATGTAAAATACCTTGTTTGTAAAAATCTAATCTAAAAAAATTAAAATAATTTTAAGCCATGTGTTATTGTTGTTGTGTATCATCAAATCAGGAACGACCCATAGCTGACTCTCTGGTAGGTTTTCAGAGGCAGCTAATCGCATGCCAGAAGCCTGTCCTACCTTCTCTGTGGAAGAGTTGGTGGACTCGAATCTCAGGCCTTTCGGATTGCACCACAGCTTCTTGCTACTAGGCCACCAGAGCTCCATTTTCAAGCCATAGGTAATTCAATCGCAGCAAAGAGTCACTTAACATTGGATCACATTCTTACTATGGAAATTTTCATCACCAATTTTCCTAATTATAAGCTTCTATGCAGAGAGGTCTGACAGCCTAGTGGGTAAGGAGTTGCACTGTCAACTCAAAGGTAAGAGGTTTAAATCCACAAGACATAGATGAGCAATTCCTCTTGTGAGATTTACAGCCTCTGAAAATCCGCTGGAGTGTCACCTACGAGTCAGTTCCTACTAGACAGCAGTGAGTGAGTGATCTTAATATAAACATGGCCTCACTGCTGGCTCTTTAAAGCAGTGGCTTTAATGGCTTCAGAACACTTCATAGGTGAATCATCTAATGTTGACATTTTGAGAGTCAATTGCTTAGGCCTATAAATTTAATGAGATACTTGCAAAGGTTTCAAAGCACAAAGTGCCACCTTGGAGAAGTTACACAGCCATCATGATGATTCTCAAAAAGCTCAGCCCTTACAACTTACCTTGACCTCCTTGGAGCTACTGGAACTCTTCCCTTCAGTTTTCTTCTGCTTTGATGTAGAGGAACTGCTTTTGCTGCTGCTATTTTCCTTGTTACTATTACTGCTTGACTTTAAGGAGGAAGACTGACTAACAGTCCTCTTCCGAGAGCCATGCTCTGGTTTTGGATCTTTTGAAGGAACAGGCCCGGCAGGAGAAGGCAACAAATCCTTTTCTTTTGCAGCACTCTGCTTAGAAGACCTGCCAAATCAAACAAATGCCCTCATTTTGCCACAAAGTAATACCAGGTGGTAGAGTTTTCCATTCCTCTTAGCCTGCTTTCAAGAGAAATCTGCTCTCCCCCGATTTGATTACTAAGACATATAATTTCTAGAAAAAAGATTAATTCTAACTTTCACCAAGGTAGGCATCTTGGCTGTCTCCTCCACCCTTGTAGAGATGTATATACTCAGTGTCTAAAACAAGGCCTACCATTTAATCAGCACTTAGTAAATATCTACTGAATTAACAAACAGACGGATTTTTAATAAACAAGCAATTGTTTACAACCCAGCAATTAGCCTCCTGCTAGTTACAGATAAGCCTGTCATCTACCTAGAAAGTACTCAAGTTTTATACCTTATTTCTTATCCCACACACACACTTCTCTTATTTAAAAAATAAAGAAAGAAGGAAGAAGTGACTTGAGTTTTAAACCCTTCCCAGTCCTATGAGCTAAAGGCAAAAGCTATACTATTTTGGTTCTAGGCAGAATACTCAAAGAATATGCTAAAAGGCACTCAATCACAAATAACATGCACATATTAATGACACTGGTATGTAACAGGTTTGGCGACATACTCTCTACTGCTGGATGGCTTGTGGCTTGCCGAACTCTTATCTTCGGTTTTGGGTTTCTTGCTCTCACTGGCTCGGTTGTCATCTTCATTCTTATGAAAAACAGAAAACAGCAGCTACTAGGTCTGACTTTTACTCACTGAATTTCCTTTTCCATCATTAGTCACTCCCAGTTCATCTCAGTTAAACTTCAGAAAGAAGTTTCAGCATCACTGCTTAGACAAAGGTCAATAAATAGGTTTTAATACTGAGAAGTCTCGTTTCAGATATTTAGACGGAATAATGAAACATATTTCCCCCATCTTTCAAATGGCCTTTTTCTTTGCTTAAAGACTGGGGCATTCACTAGTCTACTTTATCTGTAGATTTGCCTGTTCTGAATGTATTTCATATAAATTAAATAATCATATAATACATAATCTTTTGTGCCTGCTTTCCTTCACTTTGTGATATGTTTTCCAAGTTTATCTCTTGTATCGTGTCTCAGTATTTCATTCCTTTTTATGGCTAAGAAGTTCATTGCCTAGGTATATGGAGCTCTGGTGGCTTAGTGGCAAGAAACTGCGCTACAATCCTGAAGGCACGTGGTTTGAATCCACCAGGTGCTCCATGGAAGAAGGATGGGAAATCTCCTTTGTGATGAACTGTCTGACAACCCGAGGGTCAGCTATGAGCTGGTTCTGACTTGATGGTACACAACAACAACATCATATGCATAACATAATTTATTAATCTATCTCATTGGTTGATGACTATTTGCATTGTTCTCATTTTGATTATTATGTGTAACTTGCCAAGAACATTTGTGTACAAGTTGCTGTGAGGACATATGTTCTCCTTTTACTAGAGTATCTACCCAGAAATGAGATTGTTGGTTTATGTGGTAACTCTATGTTTACCTTAGTGCTAAACTCTGTTTCAAAGAAACAAAATACCATTTTACACTTCCACCAACAAGGCATAAGAGTTCTAAGTTTCTGCTAATGCTTATTATCTTTCATTTTTATTACAGTCAAGCAAAATGATTTTGAAAAACTTTTTGTCTCACATGAATTTATCAATAACTTTCAATGCTACTTTCCTAGGTCATTCTAAGTCTTCTTATTGCTTCTTATATCAAGGTGTGAGATGCAAATCATCTGTCAAAATAAAATTGTCTGTTTCCTTACACATGAATGATAGAAGGCACGAGAGAAAGGAAGTTACATCTTTTGTACTCTCTGACTGGGTCTTCTCTCAGTACCATCTCCTTTATCTCCAGAATTATCTCTAATACTTTTATTTTACTAGAACTATAAATTTTAAGAACTGATCATTTAATTTCTTCTAACACACTTAAAAACTGAAACTTAACCTATAGATACTGTTGTATAGTACTAGTAAGGGGAAGAGAGGAGACATATGGCCCTTTTAGAAGAGGGAGGAAGGCATGGTGTTGGTAGCTGGAATTCCTCACCCACTCTGCAGGGCAAGGCTGTGACTGCTTCTGTAAAGATGCACAATTCTGGAAACCTATGGGGTGTTCTGTTCTGCCACACTGGGTGTAAGTCAGTATCAAATCAACAGAATGGGTTTGCGTTAAAAGGGCGTTTTTTATTAGAACCCATACGTATGGTATGGAAGGAGGAGTGGCATCCACTTCCATAATAGCTTGCCTCCGGGAACCCTGTGAATCTGGAGAGAGGATGAAAGGCACCCAAGCGTCGAGGACTCTTCTTCATAGGGTCGCTATGAGTCACCTGTGACTTGACGGCACTTAACAACAACAACAACAATACATGTGGTATAAATTTTAAACAAAAACATAAAAAGGTCTTTCACTTTCTGTATTACTGTTTCTATGGTGGAATATCTTGTTGCTAGCTCTCATGGCAACCTTATATATGCTTGAACAAAATGCTGTCAGGTTTCTTTGTCACCTCCTTGATCTTTCGGATCAAACCATTACAACCCATAGGGTTTTCACAGGCTGATGATTTTCAGAGCACACTGTTAAGAGCCTTCGTACTATTCTGTTTGTCTGGAATGGGAGCATACATGTCTTTACTGATAGATGGTGGCTGTGCCTGAAGAACAGTGAATGGGAACTGAACCTAAGTCTCCTGCATGGAAGGTAGGAACACCAGAACTGAATCAACACTGTCCTCTTAATTATCTTACACAGAACAGATAATACTTTAATAATTAAAAAATCACTTCTGTTTTGGTTTCACAGGAGTAGAGGTTATATGTAAGCTGCTCTTCTAGTTAATTCTATGAATAAATTTCCGAACCAAGACTAGCAACCTAGGGCCATGGGCAGTAGAGGTCAGCAACCAATTCTAAACATTTTGTCAAGTGAGGTAGTCCTACACAACAACAGTGGAATTTATTAGCAAAAATGTAGAATAAAATAAGCTTTCATTGCTAGACATTACTATGCTGGTTTTCCTGAACATACATCATCTTCACATAGTACTTTAATTTTAAGTAAGGATTATTTCCTTTAAGAAAATATTCTAACTTCCTATCCTCAATTCTCAGGCCAAATAGGTTTATGTTAAGTTCCCTGGGTGAGGCTACACTGATGGTCACTGCTGACTTGTCTCAAATCTAACCTTTTCACCATTTTACAGTCACACTCACAAATACGTATTTTTCAAATCTGCTTTTCTCTAGAAATTCCTCACCACAATGGTTGGTTACCAGGGGTGGGAATGGAGTAAAAAGTAATAAACATTCATTAAGATAGGTGAAGGAAAAGGCAATACTCACTAAGGGGATGATCAGCATCTTATCACTAAAGAGAGTAGTATAGATATGAATGGTGGAGAAAGATTAATAGAAAACAGAATTGCAAGAGAAAAGTGCAATTACACTGTGAATATCTAAGTCAATGCTACAGAACAGTATGTTTATGAATGGCCAAGCCAAAAAATGACTATAAACTTTCATTCAAATCACAATATAAGAATTCCTTTCTATAGTTTCAAAAACCAAGCTTCTTTGTCCCCCCAAACCTGCTATTTAGCTCTTTTCATTCTACAACATCCTCATTCACAGATAATCCACAGTTCTCCTATTTCTTAGATCTAAAAATAAGAAGATCTTAAATGTGTACTGTTCTGTGTCTAAATTCAAATTACCGTGGTGGGATTTAGCTATGAGGAGTGAAGTGGTGAAATTCTTGGGAATATGTCAAAATCAGTGGGTTTATTTTTTACCTGGAATGCAGCTAAGGCTCACAATCTTAAAAATATAAGTGGGTTTGAGATTGTGACATCAGAGGGTGGTAGGGACTTTAACAACCTGTAAACTGTAATATCCCAGCTAGGGCGATCACAAAGACTAATTTTCAGTCTTTCCTCTTACCTCTTCACTCTGAACACACTCTGAACAGAAATGCTGGTTCATTTCTTACTTGGTTAGAAATGTGCTGCTTAACTGAAGCAGGCAGAGGCAGAGTGCGCCCTCAAGAGGCTGTTCCACATACAGTTTCAACTGAGCTGTGGAATCACTCTTGCTCTCACACAATTCATGACATATCTTGTAATTTTGCTGCTTACCAGTATTTTCATAGCATTTCAGATTCTCAAGTTTAAAAACAAAACAAAGAACAACAACAACAACAAAACCTCTTTACAAACCTTATGTTTCCTCTTGCCTTTGTTGGAAACCTTTTCTGAGGGTTGTTTCTGAGCCTCTCTCATGTGCTTTTCTGGCACATTTTTCTTTTCCCCCTTGGGTGGCTCTGTTTCTTTGTAAGGCTTTCCTGGTATTCTAGTCAAGAGATTCAGGTCAATCTTCACAATAAGTGGATACCTGTCATCAGGCTCACTAAGGGGTGAAAGAAGTTCCTTCTCTTCCATAGGAGAGAACATTCGTTGCCGAAAAAAGCTGTCTTCTTCCTCCACTGAGGAGGGCTTAACGGGAGTCCTACTGCTCTCAGGATACTTAGGAGTTTGGGAGGAAGGAGGAAGGCTCTCGCTTTCATCTGAATCTGAGGATGAGGTATCTGTTTCTATAATTTCCCTTGATTTCTGGGAAGATTTACTCGTTGATTTGTATTTCTTTTTGTCTGTGGTGGGCCGAGGGGAAGATTTGGACTCTTTCTTTATATTAGGTTTCCTCGAGCCTTTGGTGGCTGCCTTGTGTCTGCTGGAGGGCATGTTGGCAGCCATGTCCACTGGGGTTTCACTTTCTATCTTCAGGCCCCCACGAGGCTCTTCAGCAGTTGCTTTCTCAGTCTTTTTGGGTTGTTTTTTGCCTACAGTTCTCCTCTGTGTTGTGTTGTCACTCTGAGCAGGAGACTTCTGTCTCCCACGTCCACTTTCTGATCCCTTTTGGATGGTTTTAGAGTCTCGTCCAGGAGTAGCAGAACTCGTTTCTTTAGGTCCACCTGGTTCAGTGTAGCTATTCCCAGTGCTCTGTTCTCGGCCCTCCTTTTTATACCCTTGAGATGAAGGGATGTTGCTGTCCACAGAAGAAGCCGGTGATACTTTATGTGGGTTCACTTTATTCAACCAATTATCAAGCTGCCATTTGTTTGTTGGTGGTGGTTCAGGCTGAAAATAGAAACAATTATGCTTTTATTGATATTGAAGCTCTCACTTGTTTTTACAATCTCAAGGCAAAAAGAGAAAAATACATGCTTGGTGCCACAAAAGCATTTGCTAGCAGTAAGGAGTTAATGGTGCAGAATGACCCAAAGTAAACACAGCCAAATACTATTTAACCCTAACCATTTTACTAAGAAGAGAGTCTAATGTATACATGGTCTTTAAATAACAAGTATTCCTGACTCAAACTTCAAAGGTATTATTACAAATTATTACTATATTTAACTATAAAAAGTAAAAGATGTAGGTATCAATAAAGCTTTTCAACTAATTTTATCAGTTTATAATAATTATATTACATAAGAATCCTTTCTATACAAGAAACCACAAATATGTGAATAATTATATCGAGACAAAAGAAAATAAAGCCCAAACTTAAGAAATCCAGTATATTGCAGAAATGCAGTATTATCTCAAAGCAGTTCCTAATCTTGACTAAACTGAAGGCTCAATAAACAGGGAAGCTGAAGTATCTGGGTCTTCTCCAAGACACATAGGTAATGCTTTACCTTACTATTTGTATCAGTTCTTAATTAGATGTCACCAGGGGCCTTGAGAGGGTCTATGGAAGGGGCCTATGTGTCACTCTCACCTCAGGAGATGCACTCTGGGATGGCTCATTTGCTTCACTGTCACTCGAACTACTTTCACTCTCTGAGTCAGATCCAGAGCTGCTTTCAGATCCACTGTGGCTGCTGGAATCATCCCTGGAGTTATCTGCTCCTTCACTATTATGGTGCGAAGGTTCAGAGTTACTAAAAGAAAAAACATTAAAATGACCAAAAGGGTTTTTTTAATAGTATCAACAGGAAAATATCCAAATTAATAAGCAACTTTATTTAGAACAATATTTGTTGAGCCATTATAATTCTCTAAGAACTCATCATAAATTTCTAAAAAGTTTCTGATAATTATAGTGCTATTGGTATGTGTCATCAAATCAATTCCAACTCACAGCGACTCTCTAAGATACAAAACTACCTTAATAAGGTTTTCTATGCTGAAATCCTCATGGGAGCAAATCATCAGGTCTTTTCTCCATCCACTGGAGGTGCTGATAGTTTGAACTCCTAGCCTTTCCATTAGCAGCTGAGTACATGACCGTATACCACCAAAGCCCATTTTAGTTACAGCCTTAAGACCACTGGGCAGATTTCGACTCAAACTGACCCTGTAGAACACAGTAAAAATGCCCGCTGTGTGTTCAAAGCTGTTTATCTTAGCAAACAACCTCATCTCTCTCCTGTAGAGTTCAAACTGTGGGTTCAAACTGACCTTCAGTTAGAAATTCAAAAGTTGATGGCAATGGGACAATTAAAACAGACTTTCAAGGGGAGGAACTAACTGGGGGGGGGCGGGGTAGAGAAAATAGTGCAACAATGAATGAATGGAAATCCAAAATCTTTGTAAATGTTCATTAAAATTAATAAAATAAAATTTAAAAAATATATTAATTTTACCATATGTGCTTCTGAGATAGAAATAAATGTTCCAATTTAAAAAAAGTTTAATATTTCTACTATAATATTTAATCCTCCCCACCCAGTTAAAGCAGATAAAATTTATTGAGAAATAAAGTTCATTAAAGATTAGTCTAGACTGGAAACCATCTATTGTTACAGAGTGAAAATGGTCACTCCACTGAACAAAACAGGATGCATTTTTGTATTACTGAATCATTAACTAAAAGTTACAAAATTTCTAAGTGGCTAAAAGATTACTGGAGAGTTAGAAGTGGGGTATCTAGAATAAAGAATTTGGAAGCCAAAGGTCCTTAACACGTAAGTGGGATGACACCATTGGTCATTCCATTTATTACAGGGTAGTTTCAGAAGAGCAGACAGGACCAGTTTTTCTGGTAACCTATTCTCCCTCAATCATGTTTGTTTCTGGAGGTCCATTGTAAAGATTTAGAAAATGCTGTATCTCTAGACTGTCCTCTCACATCTTGCATCTATTTGTCTATAAAGACAAAGACCCTTTGGGAATAGATTAGATCTCCTGCACAGGCCAGAACTTAGAGAAAAGGAATGTTGCCTTTGAAGTATATGGCGCAAGGCAGTAATGTAATAATATTGAGCTTTTAAAAGTCTTAACATTCACTCATTTTAAGCATGCACACAACTAAATGATTCTTTTAGGTAGTTTACAGAGTTGTGGAACCATCACTTACAGAATCAATAATACTTGTTATTTATAAGGCCACTTGCATCATTACAATGCTATAAGACTGACTCCAACCCTCCCCAAAACAAACAAACAAACAAACAAACAAACAAACAAACAAACAAAAAATAAATAGTAAGAAGCCTACCTTCCTGGTGTACTCCTTGGCATGGTCTTATCACAATCCTAAAATGAAAGTGTGAGAAGGAAATCTGAGAATAAGCAGCATTCGATCCGCTTAAGCTGAACAACGTAAGAAAATCTTAGTAGAAAAACTGTCTTCTCTAATGTGTGTATCAATTTTTATATTTCAGTATTTATAGTCTTTTTTTAATCTAAAGAACACTTGGAAACTTTTGTAACAGATTTTGTCAATAATAATAATCTTCGTATATACAGCTTTTTAGAGGAGGAAGTCAAAAGGTTGTAATTCAGATTAATAACAGAATACTACACAATAGCTCCCAAAATGTGCATGAAGGCACTCCATGTATATTATTTTATACCATTTATTTTTATCCACAAGTACTAATGAAAAGCCAATTTTTAAAAAAATATAAGAAGGATGAAGGTTAAAAAAAGAGTGCCAAAAATCGTTAATGTTAGGCTCAGAAAACGTATAAGAAGTATTTTATATTAGATCACAAATGTATTAGCTATAAATTCTTATAAAACACAGTGAAAATAAAAGGGAAAAGGCATACAGTAGTACACATACCTGTTCCCCATCGCTGTCTTCACTGCTGCTTAGCTTTAAGTCATCTTTTAACATACTATAGGAAAAGGGCAAAAAGGATTATTAAACTGTTTATAAAGGCATAGCCCTGTATTAATTACCTACCAACAACTCCAGGAGCAATCACAGTGGTAGCCAAATATTTAGTTGTAAAAGAAAACAGTAAATTGGATTCTGTCTGGTTTGGTTCATCCACAGAGTAGAAATTCTGAAGGGAGGTATTTCCCAATTCCACAAGCTCGAACCTTTTCACAAGGAGCTTTGACAGCGTGTTCTGTAAAGAGCTGTGCTGCTAACCAAGGGCCACGCCTCTCTGGTGATTGGGATCCACCAGTTACTCCTCAGGAAAAGGATGTGCAATCTCCTCTTGAGTGAATTATAGCCTCTAAAAACCCGCTGGAGAGTCAGGTATCAGTGTTGGTTCAATCTCAACAGCAACACCTGGTCATCTTTCTATGAACTCATTCACGTCTGTTATCTAAATTTTCTTTAATTCCTGACACATTCATTCTCTTTATTATCAAAACAAAGTACCACAGTCATACTTGAAAGTCCATTTGAGAGAAAGAATTCTTAAAAAGAAAAAAGATCAAAAATGATCAAGCAGTTCTTTGTCTCCACTGCTTCAAGAGGAAAAATCTGTACAACTATTGCCTAGAGGTGGTTGCAAAAAATCATTCTAAAGCACAATTTCTTAAATCGAAGTTCTACTCCACAAACGCCTTGCCATGAAAGACAACTGCCCTCTCTAGAAACAAAATTTATGGCAAAAGACTTGGCTGTGTTAAAAGAATCAATCTGTGAGTTAAACAAAACACAACATTGCAGGTTCCAAATCTTTCTTGATTAGTTTTCTTTCAGAAAACTTCAAAACAATTAAAAACACACATGTATACAAATATTACATATAAGTTTCTGTAATTTGATTTTGAAAGTGAAACGTAAATAAAAAAATTAATGAAAACCTGACATTATGTATCTGAATTTTCATTAGAACCATAAAACCAAAAATCTTTTTAGGTAAACCTAATCACATTCTAAAGCACAAAGCATTTCCTGTCTTTTTATAGGAAAGGAAAATTTTTACAAAGCTTAGGGAGAACTACAACTAGGAAAAGGTTTTAATTTTTCATTACTAATAATTCCATTACCTTTATTCTTGAGATTTCATGCCAGACTCCCATCAGTAGGAAGGAAACCTTCTTTCCTTCCAGTACCTGGTTAGAGCCTCCCTTCAAGGTCTAAGCTGAGATCTGACCCTAAGTTCAAAGTACTGCACAAAAGACCACTTTGAAATAAAGTAACATGATGACTACCGAATTATGAAAAGTATTTTAACATTGACCAAAGTAAGTGGGTCAAAGAAAAAGAATTATTTTTTTGGACAAGGGCTCAGTGCATCTCTCTGATTTCCTACAAGAAAATGTATTTTGAATTCTCTCAGCTCCCATGATTTAACAACAGCAGTTCAATGAACCATTTTATACAGGTGAGTATGTCAAAGTTTTCACCGAACTGCTCAAAAATCTACATACTTTTGTTTCCTTAGCAAATGATATGCACATATATGGTAGGTACAAATCTGTCTTTCGCATTTAAGTTATGAGAGATGAAAAGAGATAGAATTTTAATTCTTTAGTAGTGGTGGGGACTTAGCATCTTTGCATTCTCACTTAATTCTCACCATATTCAACTGAAGTGATTTTTTGGCTGTGGTTAACAGTGTGGTTTATGAATTTAATATAGCTAGTATTGTAACCACAGTTAACTGTTAAGTTGTATTGCTGTCTAATACACCAGCATATTAAACTATGAAATATCTAGGTTTTCAGTTCTATTTAGGAAATAAAAACAGGGCAACTATGTTGTTCAGCACAAATTATGTTAGTAATATTCTTGATTTTGTGGTTATATGGAGGGCTTGGAGGAGTCTTATTTTAATGTCTTTATTAAGTATAAACTATGAACACACACAACATAAACACAAGTGATTCTGAAAGATTAGAAAGAATTGTGACCTCTGGCCTACCACCTGTTCTGTAAAAACTGTTTTACTGCAACAGAGCCATGCTTGTATTTTCACACTACCCTGGTGTTGTCCAGAATTTAAGACAAAAACATCTGGCTCACAAAAGCTAAAATATTCACTATCTGGTCCTTTACATAAAAGTTTGTCTACCCATGCCTTAAAGAATTAGGTATACATTTCTATGTGTTCAAAATATCTTGCTGCTACAGACAAGTATCACCCAAAATTACACTTGTAAGGCAATAATAAACTTACGATTTAGACTGGTGCCCATTTGATGTTTTAGAAGGATTATATCTTTCTAAAACAAAAAGAAAGCAGAGTAAGCAACTGAAGTACAATTATTTAGATTGTAAAATACCTGCCCTCAAAGAAATATTAACAATGATATTAATTTTCATTACCAAACTGGAAAATCTTTAAAGTCTGACAATATGAGATGCTAGTAAGTACACAACAAAGAGGGGCAGGAAGGGAGCAATAAGCATGTCTATTTGCTCTTTGTAGGACTATCAACCCACAAAGTAATGTTTAAGGCAACAGGGTAATATCTGTTAGGATACTATCTGTTTTTAAGGGACGTCTGGTGGTCTAGTGGCAAGAAGATGAGCTGCCATCCCGAGGGTATTTGGTTCGAGGCCACCAGCTGCTTTGCAGGAGAAGGATGGGGCAATCTCCTCCCATGTGATTAATTGCCTCTGAAAATCAATCTGCGGAAGAACCAGCTATGGATCGGTTCTGACTCAACAGTACTCAGCAACAACATTTTTATAATATTTATAACAATTTTATAATATTTTAAATATTTATATTGATAAGGTAATGCAAATACATACTGACCAAGCAATTCTAATGGAAAGAACTTCCATTAGATAGGAAAGGTATATTGAGATGAATATACAGGAAAACATGTATGTAAAAAACAAAGATGTTTGTTTCAGCATGGTCTATAACAACAAAACTAAAAACAAATACCTAAGAGGGGACTAGTAACAGAAACTGGAAGCAGTCAGTTTCCAAAAAGATGTTTCAGAAGTCATTTCTAGTTGAGAATGCCAAAAGCTGGAACTTACACAAGAGCAAAACGTTTGGTTTTGGGTTTTATAAAGCATAACAATACAATCTCCAGGCTAAAAATAATGAACTAGAACTTTAAGACAGAAATATCTCTGAAATTAAATGGAAAAACACAAGGTAATAAAGAATACTTAGTTTATGGTGCCATTTGCTAGTAACTTTGAGAGATAATTAGGGTGAGGGTAGAAGTAAGCATGTTGTCTGTTGTTGTTATGTGCCGTATTGTCATTTGTGACTCATAGCGACCCTATGTACAACTGCCCTAAACCGTGATCTATCCTGTGCCAATCGCATTGCCTCTGACACACCCATCCCTATTACCCCAGTCACTGAATCAATCCACCTCATAGAGGGTCTTCCCCTCCTGTGCTGTCCCTCCACCCTACCAAGTCCCTCTCCAAAGCCCTGTCTCTCCTTACAACATGTCCAAAGTATGTCAGACAAAGCCCCAGAATCCTTGCCTCCAAGGAGCAGCCTGGATTAACCCTCTCCAGGATGAATCTGTTTGTTTTCTTGGCAGTCCAGGGTACATTCAATACTCTTCTCCAGCACCACAGCTCAAAGGCATCAATTCTCCTTCTATCCTCCCTAGTCATTGTCCAACTCTCTGATGGATAACAAGTGATTGCAAAGACCATGGCCTGTATCAGACGCACGTTAGTCTCTAAAGAGACACCGTTGCTCTTGAGTACTTTAGAGAGGTCCCTAACAGCAGACTTGCCAACATCGCAATACGTTTTTTGATTTCCTGGCTGCTGGTGCCAAGAGTATTGACCGTGGATCCAAGCAAACTGAAGTTGTGAACAATCTCAATCTCTTCGCCATCCATCCTGATGCTACCAACTGGTCCAGTGGTGAAAATCTTTGTCTTCTTGACATTGAGCCTCAGTCCATACTGACCCTCTGCAGCAAGTGCATGAGGTCCTCCTCAGTTTTGGGAAGCAGGATTGTGTCATCTGCATAACGCAGATTGTTTATAGATCTTCCACCAATCCTGACACTACACTTCTCCTCATAGAGCCCAGCCTCTCAGATAATCTGTTCTGCATACAGGTTGAAAAAGTATGGAGATAGGATACATCCCTGGGGCACACCCTTCCCAATTTTGAACCATGCGGTGTTACCCTGCTCTGTTCTGACAACTGCCTCTTGGTCCAAGTATGGGTTTTCCATTAGCATGATTAAATGTTCTGGGATTCCCATTCTTCTTAGAGTCAGCCACAGTTTGTTATGATCCACAGAGTCAAACGCCTTTGTATAATCAATGAAACACAGATAGACATTCTTCTGGTATTTCCTGCTGTCAGCTAAGATCCATCGAACATCAGCTACAATATCCCTAGTACCACGACCCCTTCTAAACCCAGCCTGGACTTCTGGCAGTTCTCTGCTGATGTGCTGTTCCAGTCGTTTTGGATAATCTTCAGTAGAATCTTGGTTTGCGTGTGAAATCAATGATATCGTTCTGTAGTTTCCGTGCTCAGTTGGGTCACCCTTCTTTGGAATGGGAACAAATACAGATCTCTTCCAATCAGTAGGCCAAGTGGTTGTTCTCCAGATTTCTTGGCACAACTTGGTGAGCACATCCAGGGCAGCAACTGTTAGCTGAAATATGTCAATTATTATACCATCTATTCCTGGGGCCTTATTTTTTGCTATTTCCTTCAAAGCAGCTTTAACTTCTTCCTTCACCATAGGCTCTTGCTCAAATGTTATTTCATTTAATTCTTCTGTATCTGCCAATTCCTTTTGATACAATGACTCAGTATATTCCTTCCATCTTCTTTTAATACCTCCTGGATCATTTAATATTCTGCCTAAAGCATCCTTGATTATAGCAACTTGAGGTTTGAATTTGTTCTTCAGTTCCTTGAGCTTAAGAAATGCTGAGCGAGTTCGGCCCTTTTGATTTTCCGTCTCTAGCTCCTCGCACAGTTCATTGTAATATTTTGCTTTGTCATTCCGTGCTTTGTAGCCTGTAATTAGCTATTTTCTGCACACTACCAAGTGTCAGATTCCTTTCTCTTGTAATGACCTCTGAGCTAAGTTACATCTTCAAAGCAGAACTGAGAAATGGGCATGCAGTTATGGAAAGTTTATGAGCAACATTAAAGAGAAAGAACTTTAGTTTGACCTCCTCACTTAAAGATGACTAAGATTAGGATCACAAGCAAAGGATCAAAAAGTTCCACATTTACATCTCTCAAAATAGCTTTACCATTAGTTTAAATATATTTTAATTGTGTTAAGAAGTTGCTGTTCTTGGAAAGGAGAACATCTCTCTTACTACAGAATTCCTAACCTTAACTGTGTTCACCATCAATCACTATTTCTTGGGATATTTATATTCTCTAATATGATCTTCCTGTAAAGTTCTTCTAAGTGGCCAAGAGGATTGGGGTGAAGGTAAAGAGTAGTAAAAAGCAAACAGTAACCTTTCTTTTCAAATCAAGAGACCCAGGAAAAACCAAATAGGGAGTTTTTAAATACAGGAATGGACATGCCAAGGTCAACTATAAGGACCACTTCTTGTCTGGAGTTTTACCATCAAAGAACCAAATCATCTTCATGAATCCAAGACTTGGAAAGACTTGGGTCTTGGGTTTGCAAGATACTCATCAAACCGAATTCATTAACTTTCAATGATAATTCAAATATTTAATATACTTTTGGCCTCCAATGCCCTACAATTCTTTATTATCTTTAAAATACACCAAGATTCAGCTCAATCCATTCACTACTAATCAGAACATTATAAAATTGGGGATAAGATATAAAAGTTATTAAAGCTGTATTTGATGAGTCCATGAGAATTAGAATATTCAAAACAATTTCATTTTTTTTAAGTAACTTTATTTTTTTTTTAATTATTATTATTTTGTGCGTGTGTGTACTGTCAAATCAGATCTGACTGGTACAGGAGGAGATTGCCTCTCCTTCTCCAGCAGACCATATGGAGGATTTGAACTGCATACCTCTGGGATTGCAGTGCAGCTTCCTGCCACTAGGCCACCAGAACTCCCCCAAAACAATTTCATTTAAAAAAAGAAAAAAAACAAAACAACAGAAACACTTACTTTGTTCTCCAGGGCCAAAATTGGACTGTTGAGATTCCTTAAAAAAAAAAAAAAAAGGAATGTAAAATTATATAAGGCAATATTAACAGAAAAATTCATTAGTAAAAAAATGTTTCAAATCAAACTATTCACTTATTAGGTTCTTAACAGTCATTAAACAACTACAACAAAACACCCACACACAACACAAAAATTTATTGATTACATTAGATCAATTTGGTAATTTGTGGTCAATAATGAACTGTCCCAGAGCTTTAGGCAACTTAACAGTCTTTTTTATTTTTTCATCTTTCTCTCTCCCCACCACCCCCAGCAGCATCCATGGTACTCACATCCTAATTTAGACCCACAAGGAAACATAATAATTCAATATAAGATCCTGGTCTTAAGAAAAGGAAGTTCTGGTGGTGAGCTGGGTTGGGAGTGGAGCTCCAACCCAAAGCCACACAGTTTGACTCCAGCAGGTCTTAAGAAAAAGCTTAATTAAAAAAAAGAAAACAAAAAAAAAAACATCCAAACACCAACAAACCAACCCTCCATCAAAACACTAACGGAAACAGTATTAGGTGAAAATAATGCTACAGTGTGTATGTATGTGTGTGTATACACACACACACACACACACACACATACACACATACATATATATATTTTCTCAAAACACCACTACTATAGACTAAAAACCCTACTGAGGTATTTCATGTCTTTTTACTCTGTTCCTCCATCAAAAGAACTCTCAAAGTTATTGTGTCAAATTAGAACTCCAGAGGCTGTAAATCACACAGCAGGAGGCTGTGTGTTTTTCTGCTGTACAGCTGCTGATGGACTGGAACTGAAGGAGAGGAATGCCTTTGATTAGCAGCACAACTCCCTATAGGCTCTGCCTCCAGAATTCTCCTTCCCCAATATCTTATAGACAAAGAGCTTGCAGAAGAAACTGGGCTTATATTTTGTTGTAATTCCTAAGTGAGTGCAAGGCCTGGCACTAAGAAAACACTAGTAGCAAAGATGGTCAAATGTCACCGTCAGAACTGACCTTAATTAAAATATTTTGAAAACCCAAACAACAAACCCAACCCACTACAACTGAGCTGGAAATGACTCCTAACTGAACCGCCTTTGGGTTTTCAAGACTAAAAGCAAAGAGGAATATAGGGAAGAGAGTGATCCTCTTTCTCCTGAAGAGCTGCTGGTGGGTTCAAATTGGTGTAGCCTTTAGGTGAGCAACTCAACTTGCTATGGATTACTGGTTACACCACCAGAACTCCCTTTCCAAGATCAGAAGAGCTACTTCACAGGTGCAAACTGTAACTGTATTTTCAAACTGTGAGAATCAAGATAAAGGCCTAAAATTACACCAAACCCCTCCAAACCTTCCTAAAAGCTTATTTTAAAATCATCAGTTTTCTTTTAATAAAAGTATCAACTGTGAAAATAAATTCAAAGAGTAAAAAAGTCAAAATATAATGTGGCTGTTAAAAACACTATCTAGGACAGTGGCCAAGAGGTTGGGTTACTCCTATGAACTGTGTTTAGAATGAAGACTTTCCATCAGCTCAGCCTCGGGCACTGAGTCACTTACCTGCCTAAATTAATCTCTGCATCAGCTCTTTCTCTCCACTTCAGAAATTTAGCTGACCACCAATCACTGCTTACATTCCATCTCCAAAACACTCACTGAGCTCAATTATCTCTCCATGTGCACTGCAAAAATCCTAGTCCCTTTTGTCATCTACAATCATTTTACAGATCTTCTTGGTTCCGAATTGCCCTTTCACTTAACTACAGCCTCGGGTTTAACTTTTTGAAGCCTCAATCCTGGTATATGTTATTATCACTTTCCCACTTCTCACTGAGCTTCCAAGTGCTCTGTTTTTCCTAAAGATGAAATCCAAACTCTTGGCATGACACTTACCAATTTTTCTAAGTAATGGAAAAACAGCATAATCAAAGGAGACATGGTTCTCTCTTAAGGTTCAACATTTATTTGGGTCAAAAGACTGCCTTTATAATTACTCATGGAAATGGCAATTAAGTATCAATAAGAACTAAGAACTACTGTTAGAAAGTCAGAACTGACTCATAGCTGATGCCCAGTGGGTTCCCAGAGCCTGTAAATCACACAGGAGATTTCCCACCTTTCTTCCAATAAGCTGCTGGTGGATTCAAACCGTCTGCCTTTGGCTTGGCAGTGCAAGTGCAACTCTTTATTTTTTTTATTCTTTTTTGTGTCAGATCTGACTGGTACAGGAGGAGGTTGCCCCTCCTTCTCCAGTAGACCAACTGGTGGATTCAAACCGCATACCTCTGGGATTGCATGTAGCTTCTTGTCACTAGGCCACCAGAGCTCGACAGTGCAACTCTTTACCTATTAGGCCACCAGAGCTTTCTTAAGCATAATGAAGAGTAAAACAGACACAGTATTCTAAAAGAACTTACAACTGGATCTAAACTATACATCTAATTATACAATTTACATGTGTGGATTATGACCTAGCCAGGATGTATGTGTTATAATCTAGCCAGAATGTGAGTGTTAAAATTTAGCCAGTACAAAGAGCAAATACAACTCAGGCTGAGATCTGAAAGATACACAGGAAGTAAACCAGAAGAGGAAGAGAAAGTCATGCTCAGGGTAGTGAAAAATAACGCATGTCAAAACAAGAGGTAGAGTAAGCAGTAGGATGAGGGACTTAAAAAGGCATCCCAGAGAGAGGAAAAAAAACTAGGGACAGAAGCAGAGAGAATTAAGACTGAAGACCTAAGTTCCTAAAAGCTAAATCAGACAGGTAGGCCTTACACTACCTCCTCACTGCCATCAAGTTGGAACGAACTCATAGCTAATGCTCCAATGGGTTTTCAAAGTCTAAAATAAGACAGGAGATTGTGCATCTTTCTCTTGTGGAGCTAATGGTGGATTTGAACCACTAGAGTGGCTCCACCTTTGTGTTTGCAACACAACTTCCTACAGACTATGCCTCCAGAGCTCGCTTATAGACTGATCATATTAAAGATTTGCATGTACAAGCAGTCTATGAAACACAACTATATACGTTAAAAATAACTTTTTTCTATTAGTAGAGCATTGCTTTAAGAAAACAACACTGGCTATAACGACTGTCGTGGCAAAGCAGGATGTGACTGTAACTTGAACATGTTAGTCGCAAAGCTTTTTGATTATGTACTCCATCACTAAAATCTTCTGTATTTGTATATCTAAATTGTATGCATTACTAGTTAACTAATATGCACACTGTTGTTGTTGTGTGCCATCAAGTCAGAACCAACCCACAGCTGACCCTCCCGCGGGGTAGGCACAGGAGGAGATTGTCCCTCCTTCTCCTGTTGAGCAGCTGGTGAGTCTGAACTGCATGCCAGAGGGACTGCAGCACAGATTCTTACCACTAGGCCACCTGAGCTTACAAAGGTTTAAAAAACTAAAATTTAGTGCAACAATGAGTGACTGACTGGGAACCCTAAGTCTCTGTAAACTTTCATTAAAATAAAATAAAAAAACCACCCCATCTGAAATTTAATGGGCTGTGATAGCAAGAAAATCAGTATTTTTTGTTTTTAAGTTATTTATTAAGTTATACTTACCAACAGCAATAAAACCTGTCACACACACACACACACACACACACACACACACACGCACGCAAAATCTGGTGACCCAAATGACACTAAGCTTCACTGGAAACCACAAAGATGTAGGAACATAAATGGAATATGTGATTTACTAAATCATGACATCACATTTACAACTTCTATTGAAAAGCAGGTAGATTTCCATGCTCCATATATAAATCAAGTTTTCAAGTTTACATCTTAATACATTTGGTAAATTAGCTCAAGTATCACGGAATTCAGAAAATTCTGTTTTTAAATCTTCATTGTAGTCTGTTATAGTGTTTGTCAATGACAATAAGATATACAATGCTGGTGATAACAGATTTGAAAAGTTCTTTCCCAATGATGAATTTTTTTGGTCTTTATTTCCAATGATGAATTTTAAGATGGCAGTTAGTTTTTTATTCATCATAAAAAATCATCTTTATCCCAAAGAGATAAGAGTATCTACATTTTTTTTCTTTATTGATTTACTCTTTCCTCCTATTTTTTTTTTCTTAAACTTTTTATTGTGAACTGGGTGTGGGTTTACAGAGAGTAGAGATCCATTTCCCATTCAATAATCCACATATACTTTGGTTGAAAGTTTATACAGCAAATTAGTTTTTCATTCACCAGCACATACATACTTTGTTTTTGTGGCACTGGCTGTAAATAACATCACTCATCCCATTTTCTCCCAATGCCTCCCATCTCCAGGCTTCCCAAGACACGTATTATGGAAACCACTGCTATCCCTGAAAAGATGCTGCATATTTAGGAGGGAAGTAAGGAGGCAAAGAGAGATAATTCTCTTGTTAAGAAACAACTTCTACATTAAAATGGGGGAAAAAAAATTCCAGATCACTCTCTAACACATTACAAAGCATACTGCAAAACACGTAACTTTTTAAACAAGTTGAAGAAATCCTACAATATTCTGGACACTTTTGGCTTTTAACCTCATTGTTTTAATACTGAAGTATTAAAAAAAATTGCATTTGAAGCCACCGCTCTTGCCCTGACTGAGATCTTGGCTGTAATTCTTGTTAAAACAGTAACGATGTCAGACTGCAGACTAAGGTGCACCTGATTCAGGCTATAGTCTTCACAACTGCGTGTTATGCACCAGAGAGCTGGACACTGACAAGGAATGATAGGAAGACAATTGATGCCTTTGAGCTGTGGTGCTGGAGAAGAGTGATGAATATACCATGGACTGCTAGGAGAACGAACAGGTTTGTCCTGGAGGGGGTGAAGCCAGGCTGCTCCTTGGAGGCAAGGATTCTGAAGCTCTGTCTGACATACTTTGGGCATGTTCCAAGGAGGGACCAGTCCTTGGAAAGCGACATCATGTATGGGAGAGTGGAGAGAGGGCGCAGGAGAGGAAGACCCTCGATGAGATGGATCGATTCTGTTACTGGGGTG